ATGAACTTAGCAGAAAAGACTTAATACCCAGAAAGGGGGGAAATAAGCTAACCTGAGAAAACTCTAAGAAAATTCAGAGTCCGGGTGCATCTCTGCTTTACCCTTTCTTTAAAGTTCCAAACAAAAAAAAAAACAGAAAAAAACCCAAAGTGGAACAGTATCCAACAATCTTACTAAAGACTCAGAGAGATGGAAAAGTGTAAAAGGAGTAAAATTTGACAAGAAGAACAAGACAAAGTGTGGAGAAGTTGGGTAGTTGACGTCTGGTTTGTTTAAAATAAGATCTAAAGAAGGTTTCTTTGAAGAAGATGACTGCGACTTTTGAACAAAGATTTGTTTTCCCTTTTTCCTCTTTTTTTTTTTCCTTCTATTTTTCTGTCAATCAGCTCTATCTCTGTTTTAGAAATCTCTTGTTCTTTTGTTCATATCCCTTTACCGCTGAGTTTTGGAAAATGGACTTATAATGCAAAATGGTCTGTGATTTGTCTACTATTCCCCCCCACCCCCGTGTCTTTGCTTCTACAGCATTCAGATCATATGTTATAATTTTCTTTAACGATGAAATGTTTATGTAATCTTAGGTTTGTTTATCTTATAATTAAATGAATAATTATTATTTTTTAAAATTTTTAACTAAAAAAATTCATTTATTTATATAATATAAGAACAGTTCTGCTAATGTGAAAATAATATCAATTGTTATAAAATATAGAAATTAAATTTTATTTGTTTGTTCTACAACCATCTGATGGAATAATTTTACTTAATGCCTCAATTAATTTATCATCATTGAAAGTTTTTAAATAAACTTTAATTTCTTTATCATCGAAAAAAATGAGAGACTCATTACAATCTTTTTGAAGATAGATTTGAATGTTATTTTATGAATTTAAATATATTATATGTCAAATGTATTAAAGTATTGATCATCAAATGAATAGAAAATTTTACAAATAAATATGATCTTATAATTAACTTTAGATTAATAAAAAATATTAATTATTTTATTACTGAAATAATTTTTTATATTCGTCAAATATAATAAAAAGATATTTTGATACAATAAAAGTATATTTCTACAATAAAAGCTTCGTTTGATAGTTTTCATAAATAAGCATGACATTGAATTTTAAAATTAAATAAATAAATATGATATGAATATAGTTTAATACATGCTAATAAAAAAATAATTTCACAAATAATTTTCATAAATGTATTTTTAAGTGTATATAAAATTTAAAAATAAATAGTAAAATATTTTATTTGAAAGTTATATGTAAAAGTATTTTTACCATTGATAACGTGTCAAATAATAATTTAATATAATATCTTTTAGTGAATTTTAAATTTGATTTTAATGCTATTTAGAGGAGAATACTGATTCTAGAGAGAAAAAGAGAATATTTATAATAAATTTAAAACTCGAGATTTTAAAAAATATAAAAAAGTTAATATAATCAATTTAATCAACTAATTAAATATGTTTGTTCAAATGAATATAACATCTTATAAATGATTTATAATTATTAACAAATTATTGATTGAAGGATAAATAATTTGAGTTGAAATAAGATATAGGCAAGCACCAAACTCTGAATTCTTAGTTGTCACGGGACCAAATAGCGTCCTTAAAACTTATTTATATCCAATAAAACTCAAAATGTACACGATTTGATTAAATCAATATATGGTGACACCAGATTAGACTGTTGGTTAGCTAGATTGTTGGCTAGCTGGTCCGTGCGGTCCTTAGTCGTTTTGTTCGGTTACTGGGCGCTAAGATAACCTTGAAACTTGAGTTTGGTTATTTAACTTGTCATAAAGGTAAGAACAAAAAGAGTATGAACGGAAATAAGAGATGCATGAGAGTATTTGACTTTGAAATCGGGTTAGTCTTATTTCAAATAGAAAAGAATGAATAAATATAATGAGTGTGGGAATACTCCTTTTATAATGAGAATCCCTAAGAGTTAATGACTAATTCTACTCCTACTTTAACTAAAAGTAATTCCCTACTTTAGTTAAAAGTTTAAAGGTCCTACTTGAACAAAGATGATGGCTTTATCCCTTTTCTTTGAGTGGGTCGATTTTGGCTTGGAGAGGACCCGAATCATATCATGTTCGGCCTTATCCAATTCTGGCACGAGCTTGACACTTTCCTTGGCGTGTTTTGGGGCAGACTTGGTTCGTCACCTGATGCATCGGAGCCTCGGAGTGCCTTGGTGTACTAGGATGTGAATTGAAGGATGTTGGACTCGCCTTTAAGGTTGTGGTCCGTAACAATGGTATTATATTTATGCAGTCTTTGTAATTAATTTTTAATATAATGTTAAAAATCAATTATAACCCTTTAATTAAACATTAATATATTTAAATTCATAATTTCTAAAATGTGATAATATAAAAGTTGGCAATAGGATTTATTGATAAATAATTGTTAAGATGGCAAGCATTGAATGGGATTTCAACAGTTGAAGACATTGATGAAACAGAGGTGTGTGTCTAACAACAGCCACCGCCACCGCCACGGGGTGACAGCATTAAGCTACCTTTGAAAATAAAATTAAATGATATGAGTGGTAGGTCCAAATATAGACACCACTTGGCACTCGACACCCTAAACCACCCCAAAATATGCCATTTGTACTTCAGTTTACCAAATTTTGGCAGCAAACCATTGGCTTTATTACTACACCAATCTCAACCCTTAATTTAATTACTTTTGAATAATTTATTTCATAAATTTATGTTCTTAACATGTATTCTTTTATTTATATTTTTCTTTGTAATATGGTGTTATAAGCAATCAATACTTGTGAAAAAAAATTAATAATTAAGTAAGAATATTCCATGTATTGATTATATAAATTTTAGATTATACAAGTATGTATATTTTAGTGTTATATGTCATGTAAGATTTAAGGAATATAATTTATAGTTTAGGTCTAAAGGTTAGAGTTTTAAGGTTATAGTTTTGAATTTTATATTGTAAAGTTCTTTTTTTTTAATAAGGATTAAGGGTCACCTTTATTCTTGTACTAGACCCATTTTATCATTTTTTTCTCATATCGTATTTTCGCATCAATTTAACCCTCAAATTTATTTAATTGTATTATTCTATACTCTAACTCTAACTTAAAACCCTAAATTAAGGTTTAGAATTTAGAGGTTATAGAGTTGTGGTTTAACATTTAGGGTTTATACTTAAAGGTTTTAAGTTAGGAATAGAGTACATAATGATGCAATTGAACAACTTTGAGGACTAAATTGATGCGAAAATACAATAAGGGCAAAAGCGATCAATTGAGTCTACTACAACGGTAAAAGTGACCCTTTTGCCTTTTAATAATTAAACTAACTATAATGTATTATATGTTTATAATCTTTTTAAAATTATTGACAACATACTCTAATGATACAATTATTTGAACTTAGATATTTATATTTTAGATGTAAAAATGTTTTAAAACAAATATTACCACTTGTAAGTATATTAAATCAATAAAAAAATTAATTTAAAATGATTTTTTAAGGTAAATTAAATTTCATGAGTTATGATTCAATACTATTAAAGTAATATCTAAAATTTTAAAAGAAATCCTAAAAAAATATTGATATTCATTCATGAGATATTGATATTATCTATCTAATATCCATACCAAAAAGGATTTTAATTAAAACGGAATAAGTTTGTAAACTGGGAATCTGATATGTTGGCCATACTGATTGCTTAACAACAAGACCTCAAACGTTCAATCCTCATGATGAACAAAGCGTATAAAACAAGAATGGCTGCAACTAAATCCTGTGAAGGATATACGATAAATCTCCATCGTTGTACATTGGACGAATAAACAGAAAAACTAATTAAATTCCCTTCATTATAACAATACACCAAATGCTGATCACTTCTTCTCAAAAGCATGCATCCAAAAGGCAACAACAGCAGAGGGCTGCTAAGCTGCAGGTCAAACAATATTCATGTGAATTACGCATTTCCAACAAATAATAAATGACTTCTTACATGAAACTAATCAATGCTGTAAATTATCAGGCTGGTTAAAAGGTTAGAGACTTCCAACCATGCATAAAAATGACAGTGTCAATACATTACTGAAGGAAGAAAAGAGTTTCCCATCAACTAAACGAAGGATTTGTTTCATCATAGACAAACTCAACCTTCACAAACATATAATCAATAAGAGAGAAAGAGAAGTTTTACCATCCTTCAAGGAAGCCGGTTTCCTTCTTCTGCTGTCTTGGCGAATCTGTTGTGTATTGTGCTGGCGGGTGGGGGTAAGGTTCAACCGGATACCCTGGCGCCGGCGGTGGATATGCATCTTTTGGAGGATACCCTGCATAAACACATATTAGATCATTAACAAAAAGAATCCCATAAAATCAAAATCAAGAGTTAAAAACAAATACCTTGAGGAGGAGGAGCACCAACAGGAGGCTGCTGGTGACTGTAATAACTCATCTTTTTACTTTCGTGTCCTTAAAAGGCCTTTCGTTTTTCAAACAGATTTATGGGGCTTGAAGAAGAAGAATATATTGATCAAAACAAGAAAACAAACTATGGGTTTCCTGAGAATCAGAGGATGGATATATATAGGTAACAAAACAAGTCGGTAAAAACAGGGTAAAGGCTAAGGAAGCTTGGAAGAAGGTTCATTGGGTGCTAAACCGACACGCCACTCTTCAAAATTCCCAGATTTTAAAGATAAACCACCGAGTAGAGTGCAGAGAATTGGAATGTAATAAAAGTTTAACGTGTGGATGAAGGTGTAGATTCCAGTTTCACCTACAAAGTTTTATTCCATATTCTTTTGCAGTACAGCATAGCAGTGCCTTTCCATTCAGTTAATCAAAATGCATTATTGATTACTGCCCGAATAATATGCACTTCACATCAGCAGATATATTGCATTATTTGATGTGAAAATGTACCTTTTTCAAAGATTCACAGAAAAGAATAGAAATGTAGATAACGATAAGTATAGATATGGAAAACCAGACGCGTTTTAAGTTCTAAAGTTGTAAATATCAAAATATACAAGTTCAGGAAACAATAATAGTAAAAAGGCTTCCCTATCTAATGAATTCAGAGACAACATTGGCACCATTGTCAGTCATCCCAAACCCTCGCCAATCAAACAACAAAATGGCGAATGTAGTGTTAGTATTGAATTTCCCATCATCTTTCAACTGTAATCCCTTCAATCTACAAACAACAATTAACTACTTTTCTACGACCAAAGAAACCAACGACGAGGTCTCACAGAAGTACTGCCCGAGCTACTTCTGGGTGTCACAGTGATCCTCTCAGCATTGGCGGCTGCCCATTTACTGAAATCGGGCGAAGAAACAAGTTCTTCAACGGCCCTTTTTGTGGAGTCCCTGGTGAACTTCTCCCACTCACCTTTAGAAAATTTTCTCCTCTCTGGAGTGTTGTGAATGATGGAGGGGAAAGAGTCCTTATCCGACAGCCGACTTGAAGATGTCTTGGTAGTACCTGAAGGAGTGGACATGAAAAACATATGTTTTCTTACGTGGTCAACCCACAAAACACTGAACTTTTTTTAGGTTGTATATATATAAAAGGATCAAAATTATCAAGCAAACCTTGTAGAGAAGTATTGCATGAAGCCAGGTGAAACTGGTTAGATCGTTGCTCAAGGAAATTAGAGTATTCAGGGCTCAAATACTTATATTCATCATGAGAATATTGATTAGGTGATAAATCAGGAATTTGAGTGTTTCTTCCAATGGCTTTGGCTAGCTTGAACAACTTCCTGCAGAAGTAATCCACATAATGTTATGCACTGAGATCTAACAGCAACAAAAAAGGAACAAAATAGAGGATGAACCAGAAGCGGAAGCTTCTTCTGGTGGAGTGACAGAGCTGGCCCTGTTAACACAAGAAAAGAAAAACATACTTGCACACACGATGGAGGAATTTCAACCGAGTGACTTTACGCAATATGGATGAGAGAATTAACCCAGATAAAAATGCCTCTGCAGCAAGGAGAGGATCTATAGAACTCTGCAAACAGAGTAAATTACAAGTCCAACAAATAATGGAACTATAATTAACCACTGGTTGGGGATACTTCAATTGAATTCGAGAAAAGTACAGATATACAATAAGCGGTACAACCTGAAGCATCATGATAGCAGCCACTATTCGGATGGAACAAGCAATGAAGTAAGATGTGCTTATGTCAATTGATCCATCTTCTGTCAGGACAAGTTTGCGTACAACCCAGAAACCCAACCAAGCTCCAGCCAGAACAAGAAAACCCAAAAGAAATATAGCCAACTGAAATTTGAGCATAAAAGGCAGTTTGGTATATTATCAGGAAATATTTGCAAAGCATATCACCAGCTATCGCATCCAATGATACAAGTATAATCACTGAACCATAAATACTACATGTCAGACACGTAAAATTTAGCTCCAACTAATTATAATTTATAAGTTGAAGTAAAGCATAATAATAATAATAATTTCATTCAAACATTGAACCAAGAGAAGAATAAACATAAACTCTAGTCTAAATGTGAAATCGGAAAACTGCAAAATAAAGTTACAAATCTGAGGCTTTTTGCAAATCAAGTATTACTTCTGACTTTTTTTTGTTGCATTTTTTGGAGTTAAAAATAAAAAATGGATTGTTTTGCTACTTTTGATTTGCCATTTCATTTCACATAACAATAAAATATGAATTCAATTTGACAGCTAAAATCGATAGATCTGCTAAGTCAGCTACCAAGTTCTATCATTCATGGTTCACTTGTTTACCCAATCAAATTTACATTGTCTCATCCAACATGAACAAAGTGTTTGATAACAATAATAATTAATAGCTGAAGCATACTAGGGGTTATGCTCTGCATCATAGAGACATATGGAGAAAGTTAACAACAATATTTGTAGAAAACTTACATACAGGATTATACATGTCTTCAGTGATTCCCCATTCTAAAAGTACTGACTGCAGCAATCGTGGTATATAGCGGAGAAGAAAAGATCCCAAACCAAGCTAAAACAATGAGAAAAACCATATGTGAGAAGAATTAAAAGAGAACATAGGCATACACATCGATGCAAGCGTATGGAAATATACCCACCATAGATGAATATATAACAATAGCCAGTGAGTTCTTCCGACCAGTTGGGAGAAGCTTCATTCCCTATCAAACATAAGAATATTAATCATATCAGATATTGATAGCTCAACAGACAACAGTGAGTGTAAATTGAGGAACTTTCAGGTATTCATCATCCAAATTATTTACCTGAAACAGGACTATCAATACCACAAGGATGACCCCAATCGCCATAGCGCTGCTGTAGTAAAATACTAAAGACTTGCTTAGGGTATATGCCACACTCCACAACACAATGCCCGTAATGAAAAAGACAATACGATATGGGAAAAATTCTGCCAAAAAAAAAAGAAAAAAAAAGAAAAAAAAAAAGAAAATGTAAATGAACAAAGGAACAGGGTAGATAAACAAGTTCCACTTGTCAATACATAAAGCAACAAGGGCAGAAGGATCACAAACATACCTTCTTCAATAGACACCTCAAGGGTTTGTGTTGATGAACTGGTCATCCTTATATCTAAGAGCTTGTGATCGAAAGGAGACATTGGTTTAGCCCATAAACCGTTTGAAACCTTCTCCCACTTGCCTTGAGGGCACATCCCTATCCCAAGAGAAGCATTCCTACAAAACTAAGATATCAGTTTTAAGCCAAAATTGCTTTACAATTGGAAATAAAGTTTTTGTTAGTATTCCACCAAAAGAAAGCCATTTTTTTAATGAGTTTATTTCTGAATTCAACAAAGTATTTATGTGAAACCGCGTACCTATGGAAGCAAACTTCAACACTAGGTCTGCGTAGGGTAGAATTCCCTTGTGAAACCTTCACCTTGATTGAATGAGAAAATTTCCTGAGATTCCTAAACCTAGACAAACCATCAATGTAAATTCTTTCACAAACAACTTTAGTTCCAGGCTTTAAACCAGGGGACTTTTCCACTTGTACGCCAGGGGTTAACCGCAATGTCTTATTAAACTCCCCAACAGCTGCAAAAATAAACGAACAACAAAAAAAAATCAAAATTTAAGAAATTTCCGCTATTAAGACATTTTTACGAGCAATTTCAATAAAATATGAAAATCATAGAAACCCAACTAGCTAAACTGACGAGAAATTTAAACTTTTTATTCTTTCTTCCTTTAATTTGAACAAATTATTATTATTTAACCACTAAAAGGTAAAAGAAAACCCTAATTCATAGAATTTAGAACGTTAACATAAAATACAAAAAAGAAAAGAGAGAGAGAGAGAGCACCCAAAGAAGGCTTGCCGGCAGACGCAAGGGTGGAGAAACTTGGAACAACGACGAAGAGAATGTAGAGAAGAAAAGGGGAGCTTCGGTCCCGTTTCCCGGTACCCATTGTTGAGCCGGGAGTTGAGAGCCTGAGGCACAAATTTGAAGAAAACCCATCGCTGGTGGAAGAAGATCAACCCGTCTTCTAATGGCGGCAAAAAGTTGGGCTTAGGCTGGACTCACCATCAGCCCATACGCCCAATCTTCAACCACAAAACGAAAAGGGTAAATTAAATTAGATCCCAACAAATATAAATTAATCAAGGTGTTTCTAGTAGGCTTTATTAACAAATTGCCTCCTAAATTATAATTTATTTAATTTTGTACTTAAAGTTTCTTAGAAATTAGAATTTCAATAACATTAATGATGACATGTTTAATAATTAAGCAATACTTGATGACACAAGTTTCAATTAGTTGAAAGTCTAATAATCTTAATATCATTATAAATTGCCTAGATGTTGGAAATGAGTTTTCCTTAATTGTAGATGTAGGTATTCAAATTTAGAAAATTTTTAAAAATAATAATATTTTTATCATTAAAATCATTCAATAAATTTACATTAATTATTTACAGATGATTCTTTTAGTGATTATTTTGATTTTAAAACTAAACAAATGGATTTTTATTGCAAATGAGAATTTTGATTTTCATATTAAAAGATGGAAATGAATACTGTTTTATAGTTTAGAACGAGAGATATTCTTGATTGCCAGAAATCAATAAATAAGGGTCTGTTTGTTTGGTTGTAATTGGTTTTCTGGAAAATGAATTACATTTCTGGAAAACGTTTTACGCTATTTTGAAGATGTTGTTTAAACCTTTTTCCACTATTTGATGAGTTTTTTTAAAAATTATTTATTACAAACATTAAATAAAATAAATAATATTATTTATCATAAAACTTAATATAATTATTTTTAAAATATTAAAATAATTTATTTTTTATTAAATATTATTTTTATAATTTTATTAATAAAATATTAATATTGGTATATTTTATTAAAATAAAAATATTATAAATTATATTAATTATTTATTAAAGTAATAGTGTTATATTATATTTTAAAAATATTAATTAGTATATTTTAAATATCTTTATTAAAATATTTTTAGATTATTATATTAATATTAAATATATAAATATTATTCATTAAATAATTTAATAATATTATTTTATGAAATTAATAAATAATATAAATTTTATTAATAATTTATTATATATTATTAAAATAAAAATATAATATCTTATATTATTATATAATTGATTATTTTATTATAATATTAAAAAAAATAATTATATTATTAGAAATATTAATAAATATATTTTAAATATTTTAATAATTAATATTTTGATTAAAATGATATTAAAATATTTCATTAATATTAAATTCATAAAATAAAATTATTTTGAGTATTTATTCTTTGAAGTGAAAAGTTTGGAAAATGACTTACGGAAAATCAGACCGTAAATCATTTTCCAGAAAACACAAAGGAAATTCCGTTGACATGTTTTCCTCTAACCAAAACTGAAAAATATTTTTCGAAAAACGTTTTACGTGAAACAAACACGGGATTTGTGGGAAAACCAATTTCGTAATTGGTTTCCCCCAAACAAATAGACCCTAACTTTTAAACGGATTAAGAACCACCCATTAAATTTAATATTTCATATTTTTTTAAAATAGATTATACAATAATATTTATTTATTTATTTTAATCATTGATAACGCATACACTCGTAGACACAATTATTTGAACTCAAGAGTAGAGATGAGTATGAACTGGATTTTTGGTCAACACGACCCGAGTCATAAATTATACACCAAACCCAACCTGAAAAATATACACTCTCCACTCGTCATACCTTTTTGAGATAAAACTTAAACTCGATCTGACCAACTAGAAACATATAAAAATATTGATTTTATTCAATAAAAAGTAGGGATTTAATTGAAAAAAAATATAAAAGAGTATTATTGTAATTATTCCTAAATATATAAGATAAAATTATATGTTTTTTAGTCTAGTCGGGTCAAGTATTTTTCACCATAAACTCAAATTTGACCAGACATAACTTTTAAAATACCGGATCTAACTTGAACTTGAAATTAAAAAAAAAACCTAATAGGATCAAGTCGAAACCTACAAAATTTAAATCCCGTGCTTGTTCTTACTCAAAATCGTCCTGTGTTTATCTCAACTCAAAACTTTTATATAAAAAAAATAACACTTCCTTTAATAGCTAAAATCAAAATCATTTGAGATGAATCTTAATTCTATAAAAAATGATTTTTGAACTTTTAATTCACACCTTACGAGAAAAAAAACCATAATGCACATGACCGAGATGAAATTAAAATGAAACTTTGATTATTATGTTAGTTTTTGGTAAATTTTGAATCCCACATTGGTTTTGTATAAGGAGGAGGGGAAATTCTTTTGTTATAAATAGAGCACTCCTCCTCCTTAGTTTAGCATCCCACAAATATAAGCATTCTTCTATATTAAAGGCTATTTGTACTCTTTCTCTCTCTTTGTAATATTTCCTCTATTAGTGAAATATTATTTTAGTAGTGTTCGAGGACGTATGCATAATTTTGGCCTAACCTCGTTAAATTTTGGTGTTCTCTTTATGTCTATTTAATAGCTATTGTCGGGTATAGTTGTTATTAATTATTGTCCTATTAAAATTACTTGTATTGGTAGTTCTGTCTAAGGAGAGTAGGTTTTAAGAGGGGCCATTGTGACCCCTCCACTCTTTCTTGGGAATCTACCTTGGGGTGATTTTTAGTACAATCGTTTTCACACGAGTCACTTAGATAATAGTTTTCAAGGTGAATTTGTTATTATTGTTGGAAATTAACCAGAATTCCACAATAATTGGCATCAGAGCTCTTGGTTTATTTTAGTATGCTCTGTGGTTGCGGCTTATGCTGATCTTCCACATCAGAAAAAAATTTCCTTGAGCTAATTGACATTCCGCATTGACAGCTATTAAATATAATTTGTAGCATAAATGGAAGACGAAACAAAAACATCCACATCGTCGTCAACAACTTCTTCATCTTCAATTTTGGCAAGAAATGTTGTGACAAATGTTAGATTTGCATTGGAGATTTTTTATGACACTAGTCATTTAGGCATATGGCAAAGTGAGGTTCTAGATGCCTTATTTCAGTAGGGTCTACACATTGCTATTGAAGGAGAGAAACCAGATGATGTTGAGGAGAAAGAATGGAAGAGGATCAATAGATTGGCATATGGTACTATTCGATCGTGTCTTTCTAAAGAGCAGAAGTATGCATTTTCTAAGGAAACTTCTGCAAGTAAATTGTGGAAGGTATTGGAGGAGAAATTTTTGAAGAAAAGCGGTCAGAACAAGCTCTACATAAAAAAGAGATTGTTCCGCTTCAACTATGTACCAGGTACCACTATGAATGATCACATTACTAGCTTTAATCAGCTAGTGACTGATCTGATAAATATGGACGTGACTTTTGAAGACGAAGATCTGGCTCTGATGTTGATGGGATCACTTTCTGATGAGTTTGAGTATCTTGAAACTAATCTACTTAATGGGAAGGTTGATGTGTCTATCAGTGAAGTAACATCTACCTTATATAGTTATGAATTGAGAAAGAAAGACAAACAAGAAAACACAAGTGTCGAAGCAGAAGCTCTTGTTGTTAGAGGTCGTTCGAAGAGTCAGAATAAAAGAAGAACATGGAGATCGAAGTCAAAGTCCAGATTGAGCAAAGATGAATGTGCCTTTTGTCGAGAAAAAGAGCACTGGAAGAAAGAATGTCCCAACCAGGCTAAAGAATAAAGGCAAACCTGAAAGGGGAAAGGCTGTCTCAGAATCAAATATGGTCGAGTATGATGATGCAGAGTCAGATTTCGCATTCGATGCTACTCCATCAACCAACTGTTCCAGTTCATGGCTGTTAGATTCAGCTTGTAGCCACCATATGACCCCCAACAGAGAATGGTTCTTTGATTTTAAAGAACTAAAAGATGGAATTGTGTATACAACAAATAATTCTCCTCTTGACACACTTGGGATTGGTTCAATTCACTTGAGGAATTAGGATGGATCAATCAGAACCTTAACAAGTGTCCATTATGTACCAAATTTAATGAGAAATCTCATCTATGTGGGAACCTTAGAGTCAAAAGGTTTAGAAATGAGGGCAAAAGATGGGATTATGAGGATTATCTCAGGTGTACTAGTGATAATGAAGGGAATCCGAAAAATAAACAATGTGTATTACTTTCTGGGTAGTACAATTGTTTGGACACAACAGTGGCAGCTTCTACTAATGAACAGGAATCAGAAGCAACCAGGTTATGACATATGCGCTTGGGGCATGTTGGTGAAAAATCTTTGAAATTACTGATAGATCAAGGATTATTGAAGGGTGCTCGGGCATGCAAATTAGCTTTTTGTGAGCATTGCATCAAAGGGAAGAAGACGAGGGTGAAATTTAGAACAACAATCTATGATACTAAATATATTTTGGATTATGTTCATTCAGATGTATGAGGGCCTTCCAAGACAACTTCATTGGGATGAACACACTATTATGTCACATTTGTTAATGTTTTTTCCCGAAGAGTTTGGGTGTATACAATGAAGATAAATGATGAGGTGCTAGGATTTTTCCTTAAATGGAAAAAGATTGTGGAGACTCAAACAGGCAGAAAAATCAAACGTCTCCGTACAGATAATGGTGGAGAGTACAAAAATGATCCATTTCTGAAAGTCTATGAAGAAGAAGGTATTGTCAAGCACTTCACTGTCAGATATACACCACAACAGAATGGGGTGGCAGAGTGTATGAATCGGACATTAGTGGAGAAGGTTCGGTGTATATTGTCTAATGCTGGGTTAGACAAAGAATTTTGGGCTGAGGCTTTGGTCTATGCTTGTCACCTTGTCAACCGCTTACCATCGACTGCTATTGGTGGTAAAACACCATTAGAGAAATGGTTTGGAGAACTTGCTACAGATTATGATTCCTTACATGTGTTTGGTTTTACTGCATACTATCATGTTAAGGAGTCAAAGCTAGATCCAAGAGAAAAAAAGGTGATATT